CAGAGGGCCTGGTCTTAGATCACCCACCCATATCTGGCAGAGGTCTCCAAGAAAAAACTTGAGCACTTGGAAGATATTCAACTAATACAGCTAGACCACAGCCCTCAGCTTAAGGAGAGCTGGCTATTTTAGCAGCTATTTTTAGTGCCTTTGATGCAAAAGTCTTCTCCATTATAAGATTATTTGCCCTGTTTTCTGTTCTTGTTATTACAAAAACGATTCGTGAAATATGTTGGTTTCCTAATTCAACACTCTGTTTCTCATATTGCTGCTATGTCAATATACTTGTGGTCCATGTACTTTACACTTACAAATCTTTGTGTTACTTATCATATAACAGTGATAAAGATTTTTCGATATTTGAAGTAACCTGTGTGTCTGTGAGCCATAAGCCCAGAACAGCTATTATTGTTGCTAAGTTGACACAAAACCTACAATTTCCTGACCTAAGGTGTAGAAGCATAACAAAAACACTGGACAAGTTGAATGGTTCTGTTGTCATCGAATATATCAGCCATTGGTTAATTAAGATTAGTTTAAGATTTCTTTAAACCTGCTTTGTTCAAAACAAAACAAGCTGGCAGGAAGATGCAAGATGTTGGTAAATGCGTGAAATATTATGTGGATCTATTTCTTCTAAAGAAGTCAAAATGTGAGTTGGGGTGTTCTATAGATACTGACCTACATGAAGTACATAGCAGTGACACAGACCTGGGTAATGGAGACTTTGTCATGGTTTTATCAGAAGGAATAAACCACACCTGTTTTGTTATTTCAGTATTTTGGACTTTTATTCCTATTAAAAATAAGTAGTAGAGAAGCAAGATCTAGTTCAGTAGATGAATGATCAGTACGAATCTGGTTAACATGGTTTCATGACATAGTTCCAGAGTTGAAATTGTGGTCAGTAGAGAGGGGGGACTGTAAATGGCTCGTGGTACACCTAGCACATGTGCATCTGTTCATTGTTTCAGTTTAAAGCTGGTGTAGCAAATTATCGTTGCTGCTATAATGAAATGCTAGGGAAATTACTTGTTAAAATGTAGCTTAACATTATTAAAAACAAAACAGTAATTACAAGGCCTCACAAATTAAAAAGGAAAATAAGAGCCTTATAACCATTTTGTAATACAGTTCATCCTTGACCACCACAACCTGTCATTCACCTAGGCTTTGATGAGTAAAATAATCTCTTTGTTTGTGACCTTTTACAGCCAGAATTAGAAGGAACAAGCAAAAAGGGAAGGGGAAAAAGAAACAAAGAGGAAAACAAAGAAGGGGAGTGTCAAGACAAGGTTTGTCTATGTTCTGTCTCCATGTTTACCTATGTTTGTAATGACAAAATTACACATGTGAGTAAACAAACACAAAGGAAAAAGAGTCATCACAAATGGGGAAACGTATTTCATGTTACTGCTCAATCATGCTCTTTGTTGCTGTCTGGAAAAATTCAGTCAGCTTGATCCACTAGCATTTTATTCCTATTGGAAAAAATTAATAGAAACAAGCAGTACTTTTTTTCAATCCAACAACTTAAATTTGTGCAAGACGTACAAGGAGAAGGAGAAGTGTGTATGCACATGCAGGACGTGCATGTGTGGGTGTACAGAAGACAGTTTGCTACTTGTATTCCCACCACCTGCCCGAGGCAGTAACTCAGATGCACACAGAACTGAGATGTACAAAGGGGACACGTCAGTCAGAGCAGGAAACGTGTCTATCGCATATCCTCTCAATGACATGCAATTACAGTCAGATTGAGAAGGTACAGGCAGTTAGTTCAGAGTCCTTATTCAGGTTGAGGATCAGGAGGAAGATTTGGCTCTGGTCAGAATTTGAAAGAGCGCCAAGCCGCTGTGATGTGTGGTTGTCAGCTCCATGTGTGCTTCAGCTTGGCACAGAATGTCTGACTTCTGGCACCAAGAGTTAACATCTGTTTCTAGTGGTTCCAGGCACAACCTCCTGGTTTCCAGTAGGCTCCTAACACAATATTTGCACTAAGCTCCTTCACACGATCAGAGGCAACAGACAGAAAGTCACAGCCACTATTCAAATGGCTGAACGTTGTTAGCTCCATTGGCTGAATTGTAGGGACGATCCTCAGAAACCTATTTCTTCAATATTTGCTTTGTTTCCTCCTATTTTTTTTGCTTGGCTCTAATTTTTATCAGTTCTGTTTAATGTTTAACAGTAGAAATTAAGCAGAAGATGACGTAGCAGTATAAGTAACAGTGTGGAGGACAGTATGGTCAGCTGAATGCAGCAGGGTTTCTGATTTTGTAAGTACTGCACATGCATTTTTCTTAGAGTCTTGCAAATGATGATTTCTATGGTCAGTGGAATTTTTGTGTTAGGTTAATTTCGTTTGTCTGCTTGTGACTTGTTGGTGTGCAGATGTTGCAATGAAATATTAATCAAGCAAACATGCAAGGGACCAGTGGGACCTGCTGTTCTGGGGGAATATGCTTAGCCTGAAATTAAAATAAAATAACCTTTGAAGTAATGGGGACTTATTAAGTAGTTATTAAAGCAGAATACTGATGAAATCACCTTTTAGGTTGGAAGCAGCCTTCACAGTGACTCAAAATTAGCATAATCCCACTAGTGACTGAACAACCAGGTCCAATTTATAAACTCTTCTGGTGAGTTAAGGTATAAACCAGCCACTGAATTGCTAAGGCCAGGCTCTCTAATTAGGACTGGGGTGAGTGTAGGGGGTGGGTGGAAGGCCACAATTCAAATTTAATTACCCCTTTTATTCCCTAATCTGTGGCTTGACAGAGAATTATTTTCTGAATTTCCAATTTGCATATGAAAAAGAAAACCCAGTTTTAATAAATCCTTTCCAGTTTCTTCAGCTTTGAAACGATTAAAAAAAAAATGTGTCTGAAATTTTCTGATTTCAAAATGTTGAAATTAATGTGATTAACATCTCTAAAGGGAAAAGTGTGTGGGGAAGACTTGATGACAATATTCAGTGTTTTCCAGCTTCTGGGAGAAGTACTTTAATATTTCTGTAGAGAGCTGTGATACTAAGAGAAGTTTTTTAACTCATCTGTTGTAGTAGAAGTTAAAAACAAAGCCATGCCTAATATAAGCTTGCTGCAGAAAAACCGTACTCTTTGCTTCAGAAATTCTTTGAAATGTAGGCTAAGATCTGTTTGGACACAGGAAGTGATCATGGACAGACAAAAATTATCCTCTTTTTCACTTAAGTGTGCCGTATCTCAAATAACTAGAGAAAAACAGTCTATGAAATGTTAATCAGCAAGTACTTTTGAAACACTGTCTGTACTACCTGATTGCTTCATTTGTCTGCAGTACATAAACGTGGGGGATTTTTTTGCCTCAGAGGAGGAAGGAGAGTTCTGCTTGAAAGAGATGCAAATAGTTGAATCATATTCCCATCTAGTGACATACTCCATCTTTTGGTTTAAGGAAATCAAAATCTAGCGTTACCACTTCTTACTGAAGGTCATTGCAGTAGTCACTGCCTGCTCTCAGACATACTCAGCATACTCAGATCCTAGCAAATATGAGAATACACAGCTAGTGTATACTCTTGCTCTAAAAAGAAGGAAGACCACTATACCAATAAAAAAACCCAAAAGCAACCGGTTAATCACCAAGAACTTGGGCAGCCCTCAGAAACTCTACCTAATACAGTTGTCTTTCACATCTGGGAACGAATATGGGACCAAGCAATCTTCACCTTGGCAGGACATGAGAAAATGCATTCCTGGAAGAGAAGGATACAAACAGTCTGTGTTGGCTGGAAACAAGAAGAGGAGCCATAAAGTAGAAAAATTCTAGAAATATTTTCATGTAGAAGGTATGAGGGCAAAACGCTTATTTCCATAGGTAGCTTGTTACATTTCTGAAGAGGGTTTATACGAGATACCTCCCCAGAATAGCAGGGAACTGAATTCAGTAGAGAATTGTTCCAGCTCCTGTGAAGGGTAGGATGCTCATGTGAAGTGTATCATGTCAGCATTAGGAGAACAACCATAACAAAGAAACTTGTCATCTCCAAGGAGATTAATCTGAGTGGCCTTTCATTTCCAAAGGTAATGGTGTGGTATTTATGTTACTCTTTTCCTCTTGGACCCAGGTCCCTCCTCAGTCTCTAGAGGGGGCCACGCAACCCATGCAGGTTAACCCGTGGTGAGGGGCAAACCATTTAACAAGTTACAAACACTGGTTGCAGCCCCCCAAAAGGAGGATCACTTCATTCCAAACATGCACCTCATTATCTGGTGCAAACCCACGTGTCTTTATGCCCACTTCTGAGTGCCCTGCTGCCATGGCACAGGATGTTCCAGGATTTGCCTTGAATTTTGCATTGGAGTTTATGTAGATAACTTTCATCCATCACATATCAACTGTGGCCAATGACTGGCTATGTGAGTAAGTAATCATGAAGTAAACAGGGGTGTGAATTTAACAAGCACCAGATAGTCCATGATAGCCATCTGTCTGTGTGCTGCTGCCCTGATGAACCTGAGGGAATTTATCCCACTTCCAGTGAGAAATGAGCTGCCTCACATTTCCTCACATTTACCAAGCTGCATTTCAGCACATACTGTAGAGTACTTAATGTCTCTGAAACCCACACCGTGTCCTACCTCATGGTAACTTGTTTGTTTAGATGTAGCCTAAGGTAGATAGGATAATGTTATAGTTAATAGAGATTATTATGGACTTTGGCTCTATACTTTCATTTCCAATGAAAAAGAGAATTGTATTTGCAGGGCAGTTACAACGGAATATTATGATTTTATTATTCCTGACATTTTAATTTACAATTTGGTTGAATTTATTAATGACATTTGATATTGTGTCCATGGGCACTATAAATATGCTGTGTATATTAGATCTTTACAGTTGCCCTGTGTAATATATATGCTAACAAACTATTCATTGTTTCTTACTACCAAGCCTGCCGTTACCACCTGCTCATCTAATGACTTTATTTTGTGACAGAATAATTTGAAAAGAAGATGAAGTATCTCCTCTGCCTGTGTTTATTCCTTCCTGATCTTTGTGCTGTAACACATTGCCACCATGAAGACATTTGCCATGAAGTCAATAATACTAATCTGCATGATGGAACAGAAAATTTGTTGACACATAACTGTGACAAGCAAGACTCTAACTATGCGGATTTTGTATATAGATTTTACAAGCAGGCTATATCAAAAGAAGATGATAAAAATGTTTTCTTTTCTCCCATGAGCATCTCCACTGCATTTGCCATGTTGGCTGTTGGCGCTAAGTCAACCACCCTATCTCAGATTTTTGAAGGGCTGGGATTTAACGGTCTGACTGAGACTCGCATACATGATATACATGAAAGTTTTCATAAAGTTTTAGCGGTACTGAACTGTACTGATGTTAACATCACATTAAATATAGGGAATTCCCTTTTTACAGCTATTGGATATGAACCACAGGAAACATTTTTACAAAATACCAAACAATTCTATGATGCAGAATTTTTTTCTAGTGATTTCCATAAACCAGAAGAAGCTAAGAAGACAATCAATAAATTTGTAGAGGAGAAAACCAAGGGGAAAATTCCAGAATTAATTGGTCATCTTGATCCAAGTACTGTATTGGTTCTTGTTAACTACATTTATTTTAAAGGTAAGATATTTAAGATAGTTTTCTAATAGGTGATTTTGATATAAAACAAAAATTGTAGAAAACTCGTGATGATTTATTAGCAAAGTGAGTATTTAGAAAGAGCTAAACCATGCAGGATCTTCAAAGTAAAGATTACATCTGGCCAAAAGTAGGGTATCTGGTTGCTGAAAAGTATTGATTGCTTGATTTTGGCCCAGTTTGCCTGAAAGCTGCGGACAGAGAAGTCCCTCTCTAGTGAACTGCCACATAGACAGGGACCCGGTACGTGGAGTCTCACTAGTCTGACAGCATGTGTAAAACATCTGTTTCCAAGATCTCTATGCTGACTCTATGTGCCAGTTAAACTTAGTGGACTGACATCTTTGCATTTCCAGAGTCCTCAGTATTACAGAAGATCTGCTAGGTACACTGCATGAAAACTTGGGACTTAGCATTTTGAGTACCTGTGCTTCTGGAGCCTTGCTTGAATGTTAGAATCCTTTGTTCTGCTGATGAATTCCTCACCAGGTTAAGTGCAGTCAGCTTGCATCCATACAGCCTAACAAGAAAAGCGTAGCAAGATCCTGTGGCTAAATATTTGAGCGGTTGAATTCAAATGACATAAAAGGCACAAGTGATGGGAACATTCGGCTATCATAGAAGCAGGACTCTCTCAATTGGTCCTCATTGGCCATTGGTTGTTTTTCAGAGAGACAGGACTTAGACTAACTGTGCTGAACTTTCTGCACAGATAAAATGCTTTACTGTGTTTTTTGTAGGAGGTTGAAGTGATTTAGCAATTAACAGCCCTCCAGCATCTTAACATTTAAGTTGGTCTGATTTATATTAGCCATTTTTTATGATCTTTGCAAGTTTGAGTGCAACATCTTCTCTTTTCTACCATTAGCTTCCTGGGAAATGCCTTTTGATCCTTTGCTTACATATGAGGACGATTTTTTCGTGAACACAAATGCATCTGTTAGAGTCAACATGATGCAGCGTGACAGTAACTATGACAGTTACTATGACCAGGATCTGTCTTGCGAGGTGGTAGAGCTGCCTTACCAGGGCACTGCACGAGCACTACTCATTCTGCCTGATGATGGAAAGATGAAGCAAGTGGAAGATGCTCTCTCCAAGGAAACTGTTTGTAAATGGGGTAACAAACTTGTGACCAGGTAACTCTAGGTAGATGGGTTACTGTGTTTGAGGACACATCATTATTTTTAAGAGAAAGCATTAATTTCAGATCACCTCCTCCAGGATATAATGTCCTGATTTCATAAAGCACGGTTTTAATTGATTTTCAAGATGAGTCAAAGCAGAGCATAATTGATAAGAAACTGCAGGCTCTCTGACCTGATAGAAGAGGGACACAACATTGTAACAACCGCCTCAAGATTTGCTTGGCTACCTTCTGGCTACCATACCTCTTCTTTCATGGTAACTTAATTCATTTTCTTCATTATGTCTTCCTTTTTCCTTCTTTTAGCCTTTCACAATTGGTCTGCTTACTCTCTGTAGCCCTCTAGCCACAAAACTCTGCTAGCTACGTATGTGGCACTGGGATGAAAGAGTGGCAATGAAGAAATGAGTTTATTTTTCCAAGTTCAAAGAGAAAATGTAGGTACAAGAAGATGGCACACGTCTCTGAATGCCAAAATTGCTCTGGGAATACAAATGCTACCATCAAACAAATTAGCACTCAAAAGAATGCTTTCAAGTGTCACTAAATTCCACATTATCCAGCCTGCTTGCCGAAACAAGGCTGCAATGCTTCACTGCTGTTTTGTTTTCTTTGTCCAACAGGAGATTAGATCTGCAATTACCAAAGTTTTCTATTAGTGGCTCTTACGATGTCAAAAATCTGTTGACGGAAATGGGCATTACTGAAGTATTCTCTAGTAGTGCTGATCTGTCTGGAATTAGTGGCAGCCGTGATCTTCGTGTTTCACAGGTAAGTGAACAGAACTGGTGATGGGGCGCTGTTTGGTTGCTCTGATCTGTTGTATCTGGGGTTTTTAAAGACTTGCTTTCCCTCCTTGTCCTACTGAAGTTATAAGTAAAACTCACAATGACATGTAGGGGCTTTCTTAGCAATTGCGCCTTTCTGCAGAGAGGGTCTACTGTCCCACCTTTTTTTAATTTTAATATTGCTATTAAAGGGCTGGGAAAAAAGTACAAAGAAAAGCTGGACAAGATTTAAAATTATTTCTTGGCACTGGAATATGATTTTTTACATGACATTGTGTCAAGTAAATTATATATGAGGAGTATAATATGATATTTGTGTTGATTAGTGCATAATATTTTAATATTCTCAAAGTTTCCAAGAAATTTTCAGTTTGCAGTAGCAGAAAAATTAGCATGTCAGTATAAGCTACGATTTAATTTGGCAAAGACAACAAAACTGCCCTTGTATTAGCATTTCAATAGCAGTCGTCCATTAACAGAGAAAGTGTTGCTAGAGGAAGTCCAAATCATCTAAGAAAATAGACAAGCTAGCACACGGACTGTTATTATCCCCCTCCACTCAGCACCAGTAAGGCTGCATTTACAGTGAGTCCATTTTTATTTTTGGCCCTCCTCGTTAGTCCTGACATGGAAAACACTCCTATTCCAGACTATTGGATATTTACCATATAAGAAAGTTTGGTCCACTAGATTTTATCTCTCCTTTCTTCTCCTAAATATTTGATAAGAACAGAGTTTATCTTCACCTCCTACTTGCTGTCCCATAGATAAACCACAGTGTTTTCTCCTTTTCCTGGCAGGCAATTCACAAGGCCCTGTTGAAAGTTGATGAGGCTGGAACCGAGGCTGCAGGAGCTACTGCCATAATGCTTACCAGAGTTCTCCATCCTTCTGTTACCATCAAATTCAACAGGCCCTTCATTATCTTGATTTCTGACAAGAGAACCAGCACCACACTTTTCATGGGGAAAATTGTTGATCCTACTAAGAACTAATTGCTGGTTATTCGGCATAATGGTATTGGCATGAGTTATAATGGCTGCAGTGTTCACATATGTGGGCTAGTTAGTGCTACTAACTATTCTCTAATTGAGGGACGTTCAGAAGTAAATGAGGAATTTCCTTATCACATTAATAAAAAAAAAATGTAAAAAAAAACAACAAATGAATTTTTTTCAATGTAATATTTTCCCCAGTCGAGTAATTCAAGTTATTAATACTTTTTCCAAATTTTCCTTGGAAGATAGTTTTTTATAAAGTCTGCAGTTATTTTTACAAGTGAATTCTTTCTGCTAAGTCGTTTTGTCCAAACTGTTTCAGTACTGGATTACTCAACAAAAGTTTTATCCCAACAGGTAACAAGTCCATTGCAATTCTATTATGTCTTCTCCAGGACTTGCTGATGATCAGTATTCACCTGACCTGGTCCCTACAGAGTCCTTTCTTCCTTACATAGCTCTTTGATGTATAGGCCATTGTTGTTTACCCTCAAGCAACCTGTTCTTTCTCCCACATTCCAAAGATTTGCCAAGGATGTCTTAAAAAAAATTGACAAAAAAAAGAAAATTCCTAAGACAACAAACTTATTCTGCTATACAACTCACTGTAAATGTCTTTTTGCAGCCCACAGGGTTAGCAAAAAAACTTTGAGAGACAGTCACATCAGGCACAAACTGTCAAAGTATTGTCCTGCGACAGTGTCATCCATGAATTATTGCTATGGCTGATGAATAAAATAAATATTTAATTTTACCCATTGCTTAAGGACTGACTCCAGTCTCTTGCTGTCATTCTAGAAATCTTTTAAAATCAATAAAAACTTTCAGTCACTCTTATTAACATAGCAGGGTGTCTGTAAAATACATTTTAAAAGCTGTTAAATGAGTCCAACTTTTCTCCTATGGAGATGGTGATTCTTTGCATTCCCTCCTTATGTGCCTACTTGAATAAAACCTGTTTTCAAGAAATACATAAACACTCTCTTGCTGTTGCAGGTCTTCAGATTACCCACTCTTACTGCAGTGGAGCACCAGGTCCCCGTGCTCAGCCTTGCTGAACTCTATAGCAAACCCTTTATTGAGCAGACACTGCCTCAAGTAAAGGCTGACTGCTGCTGTGACAGCTGCTCTCTCACTGCACTGCTTTGACTTGTGCCACTGCATGTTGACCCTGGATACATTTTTTGAAAGTGGAGTTTAGCCCCTGTCTCTGGGAAGATAATATTCCTGAATGTACATTGCTCATTTCTACAGTGGTGCTGGCAACATGCTGTGAGCAAGGGAAGGTGATGCAAGCCCCAAATCAATAAACAAGCTCCCCAAACTGTTCTCCCAAACTTGGTCCACCCTGTACAGAGGTGTTTTATTGAGATTCATCAGTGCTTGTTGCATGGGTTTGGTGTACAGGGGGCTATGCTTCTCACTCAAGGGGGCTGGGAGACTGCTGCCTTGTATGAGTGCCTTTGCTCCAAGCAGCAAGAACTCAGCAGAAGCCCTGAGCTATTGCTTCTGCTAGGGTCAGATAACATCACCCAGTGGACTGGGAGATACTGCACCTCTGTGCAAAGCAGCGGTTTTACAGAGTTGAGATCAGTGATAACTTGCTGTGGTGTGAGGCAGCATGCTCTGTGGTGGCTGTACAAACTCAACAAGAACGGGGAGCAGCTCCAGTGCGATCCCACCCTGATAAATCTGTGCACCGGTACTGATTAGAAAGTAGTATGGTGAGATTTTTATCAGAGTTGGGTAGCAGAAAAACAGGTTCTCAGCCTGTTGCTAATGGGAAAGAGGTTAGGAAAAATCTCACAGTTGCTAGAACAGAACAGAGGCTTTGGGAAATAACACATAGAGCAACTTCCTGCCCATCTACCTCATAGGTTTTTGCTTTTGAGAGTGGAGGCAAAGAACTGCAGGAGGAGAGCTGCACTGGGAGTTTTCACACTGGAGTGTGAGGAGTAACTGCTGGAAAAAGTATCAAACAGGGTACCTTTGAACTCTGAATGGGTTTGGGAGGTATCTACCAAGATGTGGGGCATCACCACAGTTGTCCTCCAGTTGAGGAACCTGGAGTGGGAAGATGGATAGTCCCAAATCTCTCTGGGAGGGGAGAATGTGGGGAGGACAAGAAATAAATTAATCTCATGCCATACATAAGTGCAAGGCACAAAAATGTCTATAGTTCACAGTATGAAGATCCATAGAGCCCAGGGACTGAACATACCTGGCTGATGCTACTCTCAGCATAGTCCTGGTGATGTTACTTAGGAACTGGACAATTCTGCGAAGTTTTTATCGAAAGAGGGTGCATTTTGTCCTAATTCCAAGAAAAATCTAATTGTGTTGGTGTGCCTTGCATCATTTGTCCTTGTTGCTTCTGTCTGTCAACGTGTGATAGGAAACATTGCTCTTCATGCTATCTAGTTGTTTTAATGGTAGAGAAGGAAAGGAAGGATTCTGATTTTCGAAGCTAAAAATTTCATTTAGGGACTGTGTATTCATTCTATCTGTGGTAAACACATGTATTTTATGGTGTCTTTCATTCATCTGTAGGTGATTTTATTAACACACTTCAATCTTCCACTTAACAAAACCAGACCTGATTAGGACAGTTTAATCCTACACATGCATTCACTCAGTCTGTGGGACACCTGGATGCAAACTAAGCCCTGAAAGAGAACTAGAACTTCTTTATACCCTACTAAGAGACATCTACCTGACTTCCTGCAGTGACAGTCAGCAGAAGGGGATAATACAGCTTGCAGTGGAGTACGTGAACCCCTATTATAAACATCCAAGATAAACGACCTGCTCTGGGTATGTTAGCCCTGACCTGACATGCTTACAGGAAGCTCTGAGGAAAAGGACTTACCTAAAGAGAGCATATCTCAGCTGAGAACCTCTGCGAGGAAAAACCGATCCACTGGGCTGTGTCCCTGAAAGGCAGCCTAGCTGTGCCCCAACAAACCTGAATGCCAGCCTTCTGGCAGCCCCTGAGCCATGTGGGAGACAGTAAGTTTATTCTATCTGACCTTGTTTATGGTCCACTGGGACTGTTTGCTGATGGGGTAGCTTCTGTCAGTAAAGCTCTGTTTGCTTTGCTCCATGGCAAAGTATGTTGTCATGCGCCATGAAGCAGAGGGATCGCAGGGCTAATGAGGTCTGTGTCCAATGCTTTTACCTTTCATCAGAAAGGAAAACAGCTGACTCAATGCCAAAAGGCACAAAACCCCCAGATAATCACAGAAACACCAGTTGGTCACATAAACCCTACTATTCAGATGCTGCCAGTACTTTGGACATTCCTTTCTTATTCCCAGCTATGTGATTTGATCCTCCACCCTGGTATGTGGAGAACTTGCCCTTGTATGGGCACACCAGCCCTCTCCAAAATTCATGTCATCTGTTCAGCCCTTGACTGCTGCTACTTTTTCAAGGAAATGGGAATTCGCACAAATGGAAGCCAACTCTATTCTAATTGTTTCAGAAGATTCAGTATAACAAAAGCAGCAGGCATTTCCCTGTACTCACACACATATCAAGTGGAGAATCATTAAGCTCTTAAAAACCAGATTATGATGATAGATCCTGGGCAGGGTGGTTTTTGACTGTGGATTCTGAGAACCAGGAGTGCCTGTTGTCAGATACAGGGCAGTTTCAGTGCCTCACAATCCAGCTCATCTTTGACATTAAGAGGCAGATGACATATTCTATAAGCAGTTGGAAGAAGTCTCACAATTGCTAGCTCCTGTTCTCATGGGGGACTTCAACTTACCAGAGGTCTGCTGGAAGTGCAATACAGCAGAGAGAAAGCAGTCCAGGAGGTTCCTGGAGTGTGTGGAAGATGACTTCCTGACACAGCTGGTGGGTGAGCCAGCTAGGACCTGTTGCTTGAGAACAGAGAAGGACTTGTGGGTGATGTGATGGCTAGAGGCTGGCTTGGGCATAGCAATCACAAAATTATACGAGTTTTCAATTCTTGTAGAAGTAAGGAGGGGGGTCAGCAGAACTGCTACCGTGGACTTCTGGAGGGCAGACTTTGGCCTCTTTAGGGGCCTGGTTAACAGAGTCCCTTGGGAAGCAGTCCTGAAGGGCAAACGAGTCCAGGAAGCTTGGATATTCTTCAAGAAGGAAATCATAAAGGCACAGGAGCAGGCTATCCCCACGTGCTGAAAGATGAGCTGTCGGGGAAGAACACTGGCCTGGCAAAACAGAGAGCCTTGGCTGGAACTCATGAAAAAAACAGGGTTTATGACCTTTGGAAGAAGGTACAAGCAACCCAGGAGGACTATGGGGATGCCATGAGGTTATGCACGGAGAAAGCTAGAAAAGCCAAAGCCCAATTAGAACTGGTTATAAAAACAATGAAAAATGTTTCTATAAATACATTAGCAACAAAATGAGGGCTAAGGAGCATCTCCATCCTTTATTGGATGCAAGGCGAAACAAAGGATGAGGAAAATGCTGAGGTACTTAATGCCTTCTTTGCCTGTCTTTAATAGTGAGACCAGTTTTTCTCCCAGGTACCCAGCCCCCTGAGCTGGAAGATGGGGACAGGGAGCAGAACGAAGCCCCCATAATCCAAGGAGAAATGGTTGGTGACCTGCTACACCACTTAGGCACACACAAGCCTATGGGACCAGATGGGATCCACCCAAGGGTACCAAGGGAGCTGGCCGAAGTGCTCAGCAAGGCACTTTCAATCATTTACCAGCAGTCCTGGCTAACCATGGAGGTCCCAGTGGACTGGAAGTGATGCCCATCTAAAAGCAGGGCTGGGAGAACCTAGGGAACCACAGGCCTGACAGTCTGACCTCGGTGCTGGGGAAAGTTATGGAGCTGTGGCGGGTTGACCCTGGCTACCCATAGGGTCACAGCCCTCTTCAGGCACACCCACCTGTTCCAGCATGGGGTCCTCCATGGAGTGTAGGCAGATATCCGCTCCACCATGGACCTCCATGGGCTTCAGGGGAACAATATGCCTCACCATGGTCTTCACC